TGACTGTTTTTTGTGAGTATGCATTTAAGTTTGCAACTTATGAAAATTTGTTTAAATTTTTTTTTTGTTTACAAGTGTGCAGCGTTATATGTTTGGTGGGGTATATATGTTTGAGTTTAGTTGTAATCGTTTATTTTATTTCATATAAAAGTATATATATAACTCAATCCAAATCTTTCTTATCTTTCTTCTTAAGTTTCTCGAATATTCTAGAATAATCAACCAGACACTATAATGACAGTTTTTTTTTCATTTTCTTGATTTGCAAAACAATTTGATAATTTTTTTTAAATAGTTTTCCGTGAAATATTTGATCTTCCAGGTATCCTCATTATGAACATTTCACTTTGAAAAAGTGGCATATGTTGCATTGATAATTTCAATTTATCTGCAGTCAATGATTATGAAAAGTGTTTCAAAATTGTAACAAGAAAGATCAGTTTTCCAAGTTTCCACAAAATTTTGTCGATGGAAGCATCAAACAACAAGTCCAATTGTAGACAGCATAGAGTCCAAAGTGTTTGATGAACTGTTGCTCATAGAGGTAAAAATTACAATAAGAAAATTATTAGAAAAAATTTATGGTTTATTGAGGAAAATCATTGATCGTGCAGACATGCGGCTGGTAGAGCTGAAGACGGTAAGCGAGCAAAGTCTCAGTGACAGGTACTGTATATTTGAAGGATGATTGATCAATCTCTAAAAACCGCAATTTTTCAATGGTTTTCATTTGAAAAATCATAATTTTGAATCAAAGTTATAAACCCACAGAAGTGAAGCAATTGTGTAATCAGATAAACAGTCAGTACCACTTTTTTAAATTCAAGGTTTATTCAGTCGATAGAGCTTTTTATAAAATAGCTCAAAATGCTTAGGCCCTTTTGCCTTGAAATGAATAGCAAGTCTTTCTGCATTGAGGCTCAAAATTTTATTTCCTTAAAGTAAAACTGTCTAACAAACTTTTTATTGTCAAATTAAACATAACTTTGTTGGTCGTTCTAGCATAAGATAAAACAACATAATTGGCGTTTATCGAAATGCATTGAAACTACAAAATGGCACTTACAAGTTTTCGGTAACTGCTGTAGCCACTTGGTGTGAAAGCGTTGTTTAGTGTGAAACAGCTATCATCCTGACGGAATCCGAAGATTCAGTTAGAGTGTTGATGATAAGGCTTGATTTTTTATCTTAAAACTTCAAAGAACTAACCGTTTTTCGAAGACATGTTTTGTTAATACAGAAGACAAATATCGATGCAAAAATGAGAAGAAATTTTATGATGCGAACTGTTTTGATACTGCTAGTGATGAGAACGTGAATGTGAAAGCTTGGATCACCTCAAACATATATTAAAAGAAAGATTGAACTCTTGATAACACAATTAGTTGAAGATGAATAATCGAATTTTTTGGTCAAAAAGCCACCATATTTTGAGAGACAATAGCGTAATCATGGAAACATTCAAAAGATCAGATTCATATTGAAAAACTCAAAATTTAATTTGTTGAACAGAGGGTTGATAATGATAATAACTGATAACGCTTCAAAATTTTGAATAGAAAGCTCTTGCTAAAGCCAAATTGAGTTAATTAGAAGATACTGAGAACAGTTGACTAGATTGTAGTATCAAATTAAAAGCTATTCAATTGCATATTCTTTTAATGGAAAAATCAAAAATTTTGGATGCTCAAATTATAACTCCGAATTCATATCAAATTTTGAGTTTGTATCCATTACTTGTCTTAGTTTGTGTTCAGTCTTTCCCGATTGAATTTGCTCTAATTTGAATAACTGCTTTCCTTAAAAGTCGCAAATAAGTTTTCACCTGCTTTATTCGATAGTTACTCTGTTCTGTCGTATATATTGGCACACAAATAACAGTTTTCCCCCAGTTTCTAGGTCCGCTTTGACGAAAAATTTCAAAATTTCTGTTAGCACAAAAAAAGTTAATAGGAAATACTAAATGTTTTCTAGAAGCCCCAAAATTGTTTCCTTTTTATTATAAAAAGTGGTATATGCAAGTCTTAGAAAATGGCTGCGGCAAAACTAATGGGCCATTTTGGTTTTCATCAGTGTTCTCGTTTTTCAAGATCTTTACTCACTTCAACTTATTAGCTTTTTCAACCTTTCTATGAAATCAAAGCTTTTGTCATAGATTTTAGACGTTTTTTCAGTCTCCTGTAGACACGGAAAATGGAAATGTCGAAATTTTCAAGCCAATTTCATTATTTTAGAGTTTTCAGTGTTTCGTAATTTTTCTTTGTTTTGTTTTTACGTTCATTTGGCTGAACGAAATTTTTCATTCTTATTTCGGTCAAATTGATTATTAATTTTTGCCTAAATAGAGGTGGCGGCCGCCGCTCTTGACGAATTTTGCTTTCTTCGAGATTCAGCAATAAAACATGCATTTTTGAAGGAAATCGTTCACCGCAGCCAACAGTTAAGCTACGCTGCCAAAATCTTGTGCTTTCCTATATACCATATAGTTTGGTCGCATATAATATGTATATAACGTCATTTTACATGTAAACAAGCCAATACCCCCAAACTTTAGAAGGGAAAACATGCACCGACCAAAACTTAATTCCATTCCCGTTTCCACAACGTTCAGTGGGAATACTCAATAATATACCGAAGTTTTACATGAGGATTATTAGGTATAAAATTATACATGGTGACAATTAGGTTTTTTACATAGTGACCATTAGGTATAAAATTATACTTGGTGACAATTAGGATTATTACATGGTGACCATTGCTGATCATTTAATACATGGTGACCATTATGATTTATACCTAATGGTCATCCATGTATGACAACCCCCCCCCCCCCGATCCTAACGCACTATATGCATACTACTGATATCAGCAAGTTTTTTTAAAGTTGATGGAAATTTTTTTAAAAAGATATTAAAAGTTTTTTTTCAATATTGCATCCTCTACGCACCAAGATTGCAACATCCAGACACACACTGGAATTATTTGAAAAATTTATCAGCAAAATTTCTACATAATTTTGAGCTCAGAATTTTGATACTTAAAATTGCACAATGAATATAAACATGTTCTTCAAAGAATCTTCCGTAACTACTAATCAAATTTTAATCTTTAGATTTTACTTATGGCCTTAAAACAAGACTGCTCGTATAACATGGCAAAGCGCTCAGCGTTGCAACTGGCCCTTAAGTGGTATTGATTAATTTTGAAATAAATTTTTGATAAACGGGAACTATTAGACTGCTACTATCAAAAAAATTGAGTCAAATTATCCTGACTTCTCAGCTTACTTCAGTTTACTTTAGAAAAAATTATGAGCGCGGATAATTTGATCGAATAAAACCTCTCTTATTGCAACTATTAAGTAATAATCGATCAAGTTTCAACCGAAATTAGTATAATGCAAGGTCAACCACTCTGTAAATCAATACTTTCGGTATTGAGCCCCTATATTGTCAACTTTGTTCCTAAAGTTGATCTGAACATAAACAAGACTGCTCGTATCAGGGCGAAGCCCTGAATGTTCCGACTGGCTTTTAGGAACTATGGAGCAGTAATGGCATAAAAAAGTAAAAAATTAAATGTAATAAAAAAACGAATTTTTCTTTTAAATTTGAGATTTTTTTGTGAAAATGATACCCTCACACGCAATACAAAGTACAAAGTGATAAACTTCGCTCTTAGTAACACATCAATTATGACAATCATGCTTATTTCAAACATTTGGAACGATTTCTAATACGGAGTAAACCTCCGCTTACGCGTTAGTAGCGCGAAATATATCGCGCGTTAATTGTCCCAAACTGGCCAAAATGGCTATCTTTAAACTCCCATAATTTTACGAAAAATGATCACAGGTGAAATAAATATCTTTCAAATTTAAGCTCAGGACAACAATACCTTCCGTATGATATTAAAAAATTCCGTCAAAAATGGCTAGTTAAAAAGTCGCAGTTTGTCTGAAGAATAAAAAACCCACCGCAAGCACAAATATTCCGTTACTTTCGTATCAAAAGTCGGAACGAAAATAGAAAAGTTCAAATTTTTTTTGAAATTGATCAAATACACTTTATTCAAAGCCTAAAATGATATTTTGGAATGCGTTCACATATTATTTAGAGTAACTGGCATGCTTCTCTTCAAGTTCAATCATATTTGGAGCCGGATTAATTTGCCGCTTGTGCAATAATAGCACAAAAATATTGCACGTTAACTATCCCAAATTAGCCAAATTGGTAATTTTCAAACTCCTTGAACTATTCAATAACGATTAGAGGAATTTTTTTTTTCTAATTTGAGCTTCACATATTGTTATTTTTCAGATGATTCAGAAATTCACCTTAAAAATGGCTAGTTAAAAGTCAACGTTTGCGAATTTTCTAAGAAAAAAACCCATCCGAGTAAAATTATTATATCATTTTTTTCGAAAGCCGGAACAAATTTTTTCCACATTTTCTCGCTTCACAAAACTTTTAACGACATCTTTGAACGCGATTGTCGATTGCAAACTGCCTATTTAGGTACTGCGCGAGCGATTGACATTTACCAACAAGTGTTAGAAATAGCAAACTTTGATTTGACATATATAAGAATAAGACTATGGAAAATCTGATTTGACACAGCAGACACTCAAAAATAAGACAACAATTTTCAGATTCAAAAACTAGTAAACTGATCCTAAAGCAGGATCTACACAAATTAAATGTAGGTTCTCATAGATTAAAACGGCATGCAGCAACAAATGCTGGCAGCTTCAAAGCAGTCGCCATTTAAACCGAAAAAAAACTCGTAAAGTTTGCATACGTTAAAACAAAACGCCGACTAGAAGCTGAAACAATTGGACAGAAAAAAGGAAGCGAAGTCTGAAAGAGAGGAAGTAAAACTTCCGCAAAAGTCGCTCGATAAATTTACTCGAGATTCATGATAATTAGAAATTTAACCATTTTATTTCTTCTAATTGTTGAAAAAAATTTCCTACGATTTCCGACTAAAAACTAACAAACCTGTTGCAGGATGTCGAAGAATGTAGGGATCCGATATATCCCCGGAGGAAACGTTTGAATTTGGTAGAGGCTCGGTGAACCAGGGACCAAAACTAGAACAGATTAGATAAAAATGAGGCGAATCGAATCTTCGTACAGTTGCTGATGCGCGTTCAAAACTATTGCCTAAACATCATTTTGTTTCTTTTCATTTGAGTAAAAAAATGTTCGAGGATTTTTTTCATGCCCTCATAGACTTTGATCACATTAGGTTTTAGTCAACTGGGGGCGAACTCACTCTATGTGACACTTCTGTGTGTCAAAGGGGAAGTTGGTCACGTCAAACACACAGCTAGTTGTCTCCGTCAGAGCATAGGGAAACATCACCAGAGGAGAGTGTTTATTACACCCCGCTATTTCACCATTCGCCATCTCATATTCTTCACAATAAAGCATTATCACGGGGTTGCTCCACGATTTGAAGTTCTGCACACTAACAAGGTCAGAATAATGTACTTACTAAACATCAAGTTTTATCAAAACTTAAGTTTTCCGAGACACCATGTGGCCAAAGATACCCGTTGATAGGTACGCGACTTAAACTGCGACCATCGCGATCCAAAATCAGAAAGTCGCGACCATCGGGATTCAACATGGGTAAGTCGCAGCCAAAGAGAGATAAGTCAAGACTTCGCGCGGAGGAGAATTTGGCGCGACTTTGCCGGATGAAAAACTTTTGGGGCCACTTTGCGCGACCCATGAAAGGTAAGTCGCGACTGTGGGCGACCAAAAAATTTCGGAGTGACATTATGCGAGCCAGAAAAATGTTAGTAGTTAAATTTCCAAGTATATATGCGGAACTGTGCAACATCACAAAATGGGGAACGAGAACGATAATAGCGAACGTAGACGAAGGGAATCAACAACCGCCGGGAGGGGTGATTAGAGACAAGAGCCCGGGTAGAGGTGTCGGCTACAAGTTTTGACCAGGACGACCAAAACCATCGTGTTTCTACCAGCTCGACTAATCCAGATTTTTTCCGACCGGTGCGACCAAAACCCGTAGTCTTGGCCAAATTCGAGTTTCATTTAAATATGATCACGACCAAATATGTCTCGACCAATTTGACGAAATTCATTGATTTTTTGACAAAGTTTTGACCAGGAAAAAATCAGCCGGCCCAATATATATTTTTTTGCTGATCATGGGTAGAGTACCCCAGTTACTAGCAAAACTTTGATCGTGCCATCCCCTCTGCGTGACCGTATTGAGTTCAATCGCGACTTTGCGTCACTCAATTTGCAATTTTCCGGACCCTGCACGACTGTCGCGACTCAATACGCGACATTTCCTAACTCAAAAACTTCTGTGCGACAGCGAAATTTCGCTTTGGCAACCCCCTTTGCGCGACTGTATTTTGGTTCTGACTTCGACTTGTGTATATATCATAAGGTCACTTTATTTCTGAATAAAATTAAAGCTCCCTTCTCCAAACTGACCAAGTCAAAATATTCTAGCATTTATTTCGGATTAAATTTGCTAAGCGCTGCATGTAAAATGATCGATTCTGATTGACAGAAAACTCAAACTAAGAACCAGTTCATGATTCTGTTCCTCCAACAACTTAGAGAGAGTAAATTAACTTGGTCGTAATGCGGAAGTTCGCAAAAAAAGACAAACCCTAAGGTCTTACCTTGAAAATCGTAAACAGTAGGTTAATTATAAATATTCTATATCAGACACGAAAACAATCTACTATGGTGTACCACAAGGTTCAACCCTGGGTCCTTTGTTGTTTTTGCTGTATATGAATGATTTGCCAAACGTCTGTAGGCATAACAAAAATGTACTGTTTGCTGATGATTGCGCATTGTCCACAACAATTGAAACAGGAAATCAGTAGCACTTGATTTCTGATACAAGCAATGCTGAAAAATGTTTTTTGGAGAAAAAAACTTACCATAAACAAGGATAAAACAGCCAACTTAAAAATTAAAAGAAAAAAATTCACTAACAAAAGATTCCATAAGTAATTAGGTCTATCATCTGATGAAAAATTAATTTTCGAAGCACACATTGAAAAAATTTTGAAAAAGGCAGCCATATCTTGAAAGATGATCTACCAATTCAGATATTTTTTGACACATCTATACTGCTCAAGCTATACAGAACGTATATTCAACCAATATATCAGTATAGTGTACTGATTTATGGCACAGCTAATAAGACAGACTTAAAAAGATTAGAAAGCCAGCAAAGACTCGTGTGGAGGAACTGTTTTAAAATTAAAAAGTAGGAAAATCTGAAACATACTCCGTACAAATTCAAATTAAGTTTGATTCAAGAATTAGATGTATTTGAGCTTTTTCAACTCATCGTTAAGACGGTCTCGTGGAAAAAAAAACTTCATGATTACACAAGTGAACAAGAGATAACAGATACTATCAAAACAGGCAAAAAAAGAAAAAAACTTCGCAGCCGAAATAAATTTACTACAAAAGCAAAAAAAAAAATCGACAATGGGATTCTTATTTTGTATAATAAACTCTTACAGTTAGATAAAAACATTGTTTTTGAAGCGTTAACAACTACCAATGAATCTTTAGACTCGTTTTTTTTTTCCATAAAATTAGGGACATATATTTGTGATAACGAACATTTTTTTAACATAGTATGGTAAACTTCCATCACTTGTTAGAGCCTTTTTGCTATTTTTTTTATTGTTAGACAACACCTAAGCAAACAATTTTTTTTTCTCATTTTTTTGTGACATATGAAGAAATTTTGCTGTCCTTTGGTCAATTTGATCTTAGTTTAAGAGTAGGCGAATAGATTTTGCTCATGGAGATACCACTCGACAGGCTGATACCTTTTTCGTATTCTCCCAAGTCGAACATTAATTGTAGACGTGCATTTTCTTAGATGGTATGCTTATAAGTTTTGGCTTGAAAATAAAATTATTATTATTATTATAAAACGGATTATACTAATTACGGATTATACTGTAAAGACTTGGGGATAAGTTTTGGCCTACCTGTTCAGTATAACTAAGTCGGGTCTCCAAACGTTGTCTGAGTCAGGGGTCACTTGGGTTATGTTAGGGCCCAAGTACTCTATCCACGTAGCATGATCTAGGTTTTCGAGATAAAAGCTCTCGTAAACAGCCAACTTTGTCGTTATTGTCTCCGAAACTTCGTTCTGGTACAAAAGCAAATTTTGAAGGGAAAAAATGAATTGCAATGTTACAGGAAAAAAATTGTGTTTGTATATTGCGTTTGAGAAGCTGGTCTAGAATTCAAGCGAGCACTAACTTTTTAAAGAAAACTGGGTCTTAAAATTTTTTTTTCAAACTCAACTCAAAGCTGGAAAGGCCATAATCAACCAAAAAATTGTACCAGTGGAGATTTTTGTTCAAGTTTTGAGCTGCAAATAAAGCAATCCCTTCTCAAATTTTGCGTTCATTGTTGACGGTGCAAAAAGTCGAACTCCTTCCTGGAGATAAAAAAAAACAAAAAGCCAATCATCTTATCTTTCCGAGGTCTTAGCTTTAGATTTTTCCGTAAAAATTTTAAGTTTTGCTTTTAGATGCTAACTTACTACACTGAGTATGGCGTACAGCTCTGCAAATGCGAAGATAGTATTTCCTCTGATGAATGGTTTGTGAGTGGCGGGCAGGAATCTGCTCATCATCTCTTCCACGTGCTTATCATAGTTGAAACTCACTCCTGCATAACTCACTTCATTATCATCACTAGCATCACCATCGTCATTATCACTAGCATCTAAGTGAGTCCTATTTGGATCCTGCAAGTCAATAGTGTTTGGGTTGGTTGCTCGGCAACATTGGTTCCAAATACACCAGATGAGAAATACCGAAAGAACAATCTCCTTAAAAGCGCACTGAACCAACATTCTTATATCATTGAAGTTTGAATTGTAAGTGAAAAGTCATCGCACCTGCTTCAGCACCGATTACAACTTTTGTTCAAATTTTAAGATAGGAAATAGTTTCATAGTTTGCGTTAATTTAAAAATTAATATAAAGTCAAACATTGTTCTTAAAAACTGTCCAGGTGTTTGAGAAATGTACGTAAGACAGCGCATAGACAAACCGTCTTATAGAATAGCTAAACTGAGCTATTCAGATTGTGTGTCCAGAAAATATCACAGAGAGTTCTGTTCTATAAGGAGCTCTATCTGCAAATTTCAGACTTCTATATTCATATTTTGATAATTAATTAGCGCAAATAGTAGTTGAGAATGGTTTCAAGCCAGTGTATTTTTTCATTATAGACAGTTTTTTCAGTTTTTAGAACTGTCGTCATGATATGAAAGACGAATATTTAGTGTTTCCTCAACAAGTCTACAATTTATTTAACTGTTTTGTCCGGAGCCTTAAAATCCTTCCGAAGAGTTAAAAAAAATCGAAACGCATTAGACAAAAGTTTTCAGCTAAAGACTGCGGAAAAAATTTCAAATTTCTGTCATTTCTATCTCCCTATTTTGAAATTGTCAGGAGGTGTTAGTTTTGATCAAACAACTACATATCGAATTTCATAAAATCAAACTCCCCACCTTGCTAAAAATTTAAAAAACAATTGGATTACCACAAAAAATATGATGGATTCTAGTTCTGCCTCATCTCGGTCCTGAGCTAGATGGGTTTTGGGTAGGTTGCTGAGTGAAAACATTTCAGCTTATATTGGAGAAAAAAAGTAATGCAACCAAAACTCAAAGATCAAAAAAAGTTGTATGCCTTTGTGCTTGTACAATCTTTTCATTTCAACACGTAATGAGCACATTTCTTGCTGATGCAATTGAAACACAAAAAACTTAAAACAACATGAAAGTTGAGCCCTCTACATCAGAGGAAAAATTTTTGTACACTGATCCGAAATATGCTAGCAAGTACTGAACATTTTCATTTCGATTTTTGAGAGACGCAACAGTACTCAATTTGTTTTTGCGCGGTTTGAAGACTTTGGTAAAAACTGCGATAAACTTTTCAGTAAGATTTTTTTAAAAATGCGCCTTTGCTAGTCGTTATTTGAGTTTTAAATGTATTTTTTGGAAAATAATAAGATACATCACAATCTAGGGGCAAAAATTTTTATAGTGGTAACCAAATTATTTTGTGTTTCCCAAATTTTTCTCTCATTGACTGCTTCTTATTTTTTCGGTTGCGTTATTATTTCTATCCAGTGTATAGGTAAGCTAACCGTAATTATCGGAAATTACAAGTCAACAAAAATTATCAAAGTGCGACAAATTTTGGTTTTTAAAAGCAGAACGCGATTT